TAATTGTAGCAAACCATTTGCTGTGTATGTGTGCATATGTTCATTTGGGGGTGTAAAGCAGCAGCTGCCTGATTGTCACATCAAATCAAATCAAATCAAATCAAGTTTTATTTATAAAGCACATTTATAAACGATTTTTGGTCGAGCCAAAGTGCTGTACATACAATAAAATTAGCCTACAGTAGAGACACTTTACAGCAAATACAACAGCACAGTTTGTTCAGAATATCAGGATGAGAAAAGTGACACCCTCTATCCTTAGACCCTCACATCGTACAAGGAAAAACTTCCAACACATGTAACACACACACACACACACACACACACACACACACACACACACACACACACACACACACACACACACACACACACACACACACACACACACACACACACACACACACACACACACACACACACACACACACACACACACACACACCACACACACACACACACACACATGGACACAGACCAGCTGGGCAGCGGCTCCATGTTCGGTGTACAACACATGTGTCCACACAGGACATCTATCACTGCTAACCTCAGAGCAGCGTCTGACACACGCACCTGCAGCACACGCACACACACACACACACACACACACACACACACACACACACACACACACACACACACACACACGCACGCACGCACGCACGCACGCACGCACACACACACACACACACACACACACACACACACACACACACACACACACACACACACACACACACACACACACACACACACACACACACACACACACACACACACACACACACACACACACACACACACACACACACACACACACACACACACAATCCCACTCCTTACGATATGGAGCAAATGAGGAGCAACAGAGGCAGGATCCCTCACTACATAAAAACAAGATTTCAAACGTTGCATTATTTTTACTGATCATGCTTAATCTATTTTCAAGTACTGTGAAACATTCAAATGTAATGTATTCATTCAAATTCAAATATGTTCAATTATGTCTTTATGGGCAGCAGCTTGGCATACTTTGAAAGTCTTGCAGTTAAGCAATGATGTATCACAGACATTATATGCAGATTACACACATAACATCTTGCAACAACGTTTCCTGTCGCATAATTCAGACACTGAACATCCTTTTTGCACTAAGAGGTAAAAGTGATGTCTTTCACGGACATTAAGCTCTGCAGTCAACTGTCAACTTAGTTATACTGTGTTGCTTTATAAGCCAGTGTAATGATGATGGATACATTAAGGGAAACTATGATTTTGTACCTGTAGTTGCAGTTGACATAAAGCAAAAACGGAATGTCTGTATCAGTACATTTTGAGGATGTGTTGTCTGTATATTTAACCAAACTTTTTTTGGGTTACTCACAAGACCCGCTGACAACTTGTCCCAAAAATAAAGTGAGGTGTGAGGACGACACCAACGAGAGAACACCCGAGCTTTCCAGGTTGAAATATTGTCCCTTCCATCTTTAGAAATCTCACATCCTCAATCTGAAGGAGACACAACGAGTGACTCGCTGTCCGTAAGGTGTTTATTCTTTGCTGTGAGATTTTACAGTTGATCCGAGTTTGAAAATACCAGATGCCTTTGATTGTGTTCAGTCAGAAACTAGAACACTTTTCAGTAATACATTGATGTTTGTGCAAGCCTGACTGTGTTTGTTTCTGTCCATATGTCCTCAGCTGTAAGGTTGTGTGTGTGTGTGTGTGTGTGTGTGTGTGTGTGTGTGTGTGTGTGTGTGTGTGTGTGTGTGTGCCCACATGACCTCTAATGATGATGAAATGTGTTCCTAATCCTGTAGGTTATTTCTGTCGACTGACAGTTGTTGTAGAGGTGCTTGTTTATTGTGTGTGTAAAGTCAGTAGTGCGTGTGCATGCGTGTGTTTAATTGGACCTCCCTGAGCCAATCTCCAGGTGATGGAACTCATCTGCTCTTCCCCTGATTAAGGACAACAGATGGACTGGTATCACAGCACACACACACACACACACACACACACACACACACACACACACACACACACACACACACACACACACACACACACACACACACACACACACACACACACACACACACACACACACACACACACACACACACGCACACACACGCACGCACGCACGCACACATAATACTTCCACAGCCATGAGTCATCATCAAACAAATAGAACACACATATTGTGCCAGTCCTTCGGCTGGTAATCAATACTACATAAACAAAGAGTGAATTATTTGTGGCCCCTAGATGTCCATGCATCAAGCTTAAATGACCCAGATGCTTCAGTCCGTTCAGTCTTCATCACCACCACCCAGCTCATTAAAATGGTTAACTACGCAAGAAAACTCATCCTTCTGCAACATTTCTAACACAACATTTTCACTGTCCTCCTCCATCTGTTTGACAAAAGTTAATTTATTCAACTAGCAAACTCTCAATCAAGAAAGACATGTCCAACAACTCACGAGATGACAGGCATGGACATCTCCTTCCTAATGGAAAATCATTGATAATGACTTTCCAAATACACGTAATACCTAATTGATGAATATGTTTACCCCTGCCTGTTGACCCACATACAGAAATCTTTGAATGAAACGCCTTTTATGCGCATACCCGTTAGTGTGAGTTCAAATTCTACAATCGTAAAAAACAAAGGAAAGTAGGGGAGAAACCAATCATCCTTTTTTCCCTGCTTTGGGGATAATATTCACAAACTGCACTTCTATCATAAAAAATTCACATGTAAGATCTGCAATTAGTACAAGAGTATAGAAAAACTGTGTTTTAATCCAGGGGTGTCAAACTCAATGTAATCACGGGCCACATTGGAATTATGGTTTCACTCAAAGGGCCGGTTGTAACTTTAAGACTATATAAATATTTAATATATATAAAATGATGTATTATATTACATTATTGCCTCTGTATTGGATTATTATCGGATAGGGTAATAACTTAGGTAAAAAAAAAGAAATATGGGGGGAAAAAGCAACGTTTTGAAAAAAAAGTCAAATTCTGAGAAAAATTCAAATTCTCATATTTTGAAGAAAAAACAGTCAAATTCATCACATTTTAGATGCATTGTGGGACATGTAGTTTATGGGCAACATGCTTCTGTAAATCGGCATGTAACTTCCTGAGTCATTATCAAGGTATACGTCTTGAGAATCAACGTACTAATAATAAACCCTGATTGTGGAGTTGATACGACTCTCCTTCACAGTGAACACTTGATCTTTAAATGTGTTCTCTCAGTAGATCTGAGTCATCCGCTGAGTTTCCTCTAACCTTTACCAGATGTTCAGCCACTTTCAAACCTGAGTCCATGTGTCCTCTATATACCTGCCTCATTAAAACACAGCAATACTTTAAAATCCCAACACAGTAATGTGAACTTTTACACCCTGGGACTAATTAAAATATATTTATGCAGCATCATTCGGTCTCAACGTGATAAAGTGATATTATGAACCACTTAAAACCTGCCAGTATTCATTTTACGGTCCCAAGCTGCTGTTTAGGAAAACATCAAACTTGACAGCATATTAGATTGTCTATGCATTCTTAATGTTGTAATACTTGAATCCAACGTGTTGTTATGATCTGTGGACTATGACAAACATGTCAGAAGCACATGTGTATTATATATTTTTTTCTTATAGAAAATTGATATTATTTTACTTATAATTCATGAAAAGTGGGGCTGAGAAGGATAAGAAAACAGAAAGAAAGGGAGGCAAAATAAAGGAAGTCTTCACAGCACATGATTAATTAATCTCTCAAATGATCTTTGTTGATGCTGTTGTTGTTGCATAATATCGACACGGAGCAGAGACAATCCTCGATCGTGCAGTAAAACTTGCCCGTGAACCCAGTGTGACCCTGGAGCAGATATTACTCTACGCCCATATTAACCCGGCACTCAGTGTAAAACACTCCATTTGGTCTACACCCATTTGCCTTCAGGGCCACATTAATTATAATTACGGGGCTCTCAGCAAGTTAATATCCCCCCGTATAATACATGTCATCGCGTGGTAGGTGATAAAAGAAGAAGAAACAAAAAAAAGTAAACAGTCTCCCAATAATCATACACAATGGGACAATATTTAAATTTAGTGCAATGCACTACGATAGCTGAATGAAATCGATGAGCACTTGAAAAAACAAACTAAAAACAACAAGTTCCATTCCTATCTCCCCAAAACATGGTGCCTCAACACACGCGCACACACGCACACGCACGCTTACAAAACGAAAAGAGAGAGAGAAAGTGGTGAGAATGAAAGACAGAGAAAGAAAGTAAAAAAAGGGGGGGGGGGAGGAGTTGATAACAGCTTCAATAAATCATCCGGGCCAGTCGCCGCTCCCCAGGGATGCGGGATGCATTAAATTAAGCACTCCCTCTACCCATGTGTCTACCCCTCCATCTCCCCTCTCTCTCTCTTTCTCTCTCTCTCTTTCTCTCGCGCGCGCTCCGTATAAATGCCAACAGCTGATCGCGAGACGGCACACTCACGGGAACACCTCGCGGACGCAGCAGAAAGAAAGACCGAGGGGAAGAGAGAGAGAAGAGAGAGGGATACTAAAAGAGAAAGAGGGGACGCTGTTGATTCACTCGCCCACAGGGAGTCTCGTTGTGATTTGCACCGTCCTAAGTACTCGTCATTAACGGGAATAAAGGACTATTTCGGCGGCAAAAAGGAAATTGGACAAGGTGCCCGACATCTTTCTTTTGAAGAGCTTCCAAAATCTTCCTCCCCCCTACCCCCCTCTTATTTCCTTCGCATCCCTCCCTCCTCCTCAATCTCTTCTTCCTCTTCTTTAGAAGGACCCGAGAGCCGCCGCACGCGCTGCAGGTTGCCTCCCTTACCTTTTATTTTGTTTATTTTTGTTGACTGCTCACGAGCCTCTGTCCTCTGATCTGCCGCCTGCCTGCGAGAAAAGAGTACGCGAGCCCCCCCCCCCCCCCCCCCCCCCCCCCCCCCCCGGAGGGAGCTGTCCGGTGCTGAAGTTGCATTTCTCACCCACTCTGCACGAGGACTAAAGCACGGGGACGGTCAGACAGACAAACTAAAGACATACTAACTAAGCGCTGGTTGGACAGTTTTAACGGAGCAACTCGCTCTCTTCCGAAACAGTCTTCCTCTGGTGTGTATCGGGCGAGTCAGCACGCTGGCCAGGTCGTCGGAAAACGGCTGTGTTTGTGCGTGTGTTGTTGTGTTTGTGAGTGTGTGTGTGTCGGTGTCGCAGCACCATGCCAAGGTCTTTCCTGGTGAAAAAGGTGAAACTTGATGATTTCACGCATGATTTGGGGAATGTCTACCGGCACCGGACAGACCTCAGCCTGCGGCTCCATGACAAAGGTAGGTCAGGCTGCTGCACCGCGAGCACTAACAGGTGTCTCAAAAACAAGTCTCTCTGACAGAGGAGGAGGAGGAGGAGGAGGAGGAGGAAGAGGGGGAGAGGCAGGGAGCCTAACAATGCTGTTTCCAAAAATAAGGCTTTAGCATGTGACTGTGAGGTGGATCCTGGAGGGAGTCCTTGTGATTGTTCTTTTATTTATTGACCCCAATAGCCATGTAGAGCTGCAATTCTTAACACAAATAACTATACATTTATCACAGAAACTCAAAGATGTAATTAGCATAGCATTATCCAGTTTGCATGTAGTGTTACCTGCTCTTGTTATATCCTGTCACATATCCTTGCTCTTTGAACCATGTGACAGTGTTGTTGCTACCTGTAGGTGATGTGGGTGTAGCCTACAGGCAGAGCCTATCATTATTGATTAAGCACACTGGCAGACAGCTCAGACATTGGACAGTTATTACCTTTATGCTGGATGATAAAAGCATCAAAGCCCTGCACTAAGCAGTCCATTACAAGTCATTCTACACGATTTGGCACCATAAAACACTGAGGAGCTGCAAACCTTAACTACAGCTTAACGATACCACCCACAATCCAACAGTTGATTTGAAGCGTTTGCTCGGTTGTAGGAGTTGACTTGCCACTGGAGCGGAAAGGTCACTTGAGAAATCAACTAAATCCAGCGCGTCTCATGAATCATCGATTTTGGCCCTCGGTCAGCAGGGACTCTGCCCCCCCTACGCAGGCTAAATGAGGTTAAAAGAGATAAAGACAGGACTGAGGTTATTATTATGTGCTGCGCTTTAACTTGCTTAAGGGGAATTAACAAGCTCTGTCAAAGTCAAAGTGTTGTCCTTGTGTGCAAGGGGGCAGATCTTTTATACGGACAATTAGCTGACAAAACATGACAGTATTCGTACAGTGTTGTAAAGTGTCCGGGTGAAGCCCAAATAAGCAGCTGTTGTTCTTCTTCATGTAACAGCGCTGTGTCCAGGACGATTACCACCAATCTATTGTTATTGATTGTTTATGAAATGATCCCCATTACAAGCTTATAGTCTGCATTCTGCATGTGCCCCGTGTTCAGATATAGCTGTCCTATTTCTGCAGTGTATGCAGATTTCTATAGGGCGATATCCTGCCTGGATTACATATTATTGTTATTATATAATGATATGTATTATTCTTTATGAATACAAGCATCCCAAAAGGCTTTGTAACAATATCACAACAACCAGAATGTACCTCCCTAACTGCACCTCTCCCACGGATGATCTGTTGAATATAAGTTACAGGTAACAGATTCTGAATGGAAGTCACATTTTAAATCATTAGTTTGTACCATCATGAATATGGTATTTTACAATCAAATTATTTTTGATGAGCTCATTAGGTGTAACAAACCACCTCGATATGTTGACGACAGAGTGACTCATTGTGTAGTTCTGCCTCTTTGCTCCTGAAGCTGTGAACTCCCCCCCCCCTGTGACTGTGTGCGTCACATTTTACACCAAAACCCTGAGATGCCTTTGCAATGTAACTGATGGACTGCTTCCACCACCAATGTCATTGTCACACTGTTGCACACCAACATGTGTGCTATGTGTGCTCTGTGCGCAGTCTTGCCTGCATGCCTCTGCTCGTAAAGCAAAGAGCTGTCAGCGGTGTATTTATAATGCCGAGGTTAACAAGCCCCGCTCGGCTCGACACGCGATCTGCCGGCTCGACACGCGATCTGCCGGCTCAGCAGCTGCGTGTCCCGGCCCACCTTTTGTCTCTACCCCCTAACATCTGACGGGAACAGCTTAATGCAGCTTCCACATACAGTACAACACAGGCGTAGTTGTACTGTATGTGGAAGCTGCATTAAGCTGTAAAGACTGCGTTAGGAGCGACTCTCTGCTCAAAACGAACCGGCTTTTGGAATAACTGATATCTCACCCGTGCTCAGTGCGTTGTGTGCGATGGGACTGTGTATTCAGTTGGGATGTGTGGAGGCTGTTATCGTGTGCAGACAGATATGCGTCGTCACAGAGCGTGTTGCTTCTGCATCTCAAAAGTACTCCTCCAAGAGATTGGATTTAATAATAACAACTTCTTAAAAGGGAGAAAAAGTAAATACTAATAGCACTTATAATTCATGTTTTGATGACAGGTTTCCCTTTACATCATACACATATTACATTGACTTCAAATGTAACCTCCGGTCTTCCTGGTGACTTAATCTCAAGGTATTTTATGTAGATATAAGTATTTAGTCATTTACTATATCTGCAGTTGTGTATGGTTTCTTGACATGCATTTCCTAATGAGAATACCTGTATTAGCCCAACAGAGGTACAATGTACATTGTTACAGCAGAAAAGAGCCAACGACAGCTTAATGTTACCTAAGCATGCTTACAAAAAAGTACTAAAGATACAAAAAGAAATTATAATAAAAAAAGTTACACATTTTACAAAAAAACACACTCTGTAACAGTTCTGAGGATTTAGCAGCCAGGTATATATTGCACAGTTTTTAACAGCATGTATATTGCACATAGTTGGTATTTAATAGTGTGTAGTGATGTAGACAAACACACTTCACATGTCCGGCAGTGGCTCAGTCAGTAGGGACTTGGATTCAAGCTTGGTTCAAGTCCCCGACTAGACCTAATGGAGTGTGGACTGGTACTTGGAGAGTTCACCTCCTGGGCCCTGCCGTGGTGCCCTTGAGCATGGCACCGGACACCCACTCCCATTGCCCCCTGGGCGCTGTTCAATAGCTGCCCACTGCTCCTAGTACTAGTTAAATGCAGAGGCAATTTCTTTTTGTGTGAATTAAACCATTAAAGAGGGTTTCATCCCTCCGATTCTATATACAGTACACTCCTAAAAAACATACGTCACAGCCCCCTCCAACCTGCTCACATACTGTACATCTGCATAGCTTTAGGAGGAGTTTTAGTAACTGTACTTTCCCCAAAAGGCTTGCCATGCAGCTCTTCAGCCCCCTGATGTGTGAACAGCACGCTGTTGCCCGCACTGACTAAGCCTGTGCAGCAGCCCTGCTGTCACCGTGCCATCGACCTGCTCCGCACTGGAGCTGTCCGTGGTGCTGATGCTCCTTTTCACCGCCTAAATCAGCTTTCTCAAGTTCAGGGTCAGCCTGTGTGCATTTATCTTTCTCAGAGGATGGGATTTAAATTGCAACCTTTGAGAACTGAGAGGAGGTATATTGCTGAATTATATATAGACTAATACTGCGGGCTTTTTTTACACTCCACAGGTGTGCAGGAGTGAGACAGATGTTCTGCGTTGCAATATGCCAATTCAGACTTCCACATATGTTTACAGTTGTTGGAAGTAGTTACAGTTGCTGCTGCTAATTGTGAGTTGAGGTCTTCCTTTAGAGTACTTAGGAAGGTTTAATGCAGGCGTTGGATTTGGACATATAGCCGCAGCAGTATGCAGGTAGGACTGTGCCTATTAGGATGACTAGTAGGATGGGAAGAGGATAACGACACATATCACTATCAGAATATTATGTTTTGTTTCAAGGATGAACTGATGATGGTCAAAGTCAAGGTCGCTGTGACCTTGCAAAACACGTTTTCAGTCATAATTTAAGAATGATCATTATTAGCTTTTAGCTAATAATGATAATTTTGCACACATGTCTAAACACATGACATTTTGTAGTGACATGGATGTAAACTGAATCTGGACTGTTAGCTGTTACACTACTTGTATGTTGTTAGATCCCACTGCTCTGATTTCAAAGTAACATCTTCTTACTTGTTTTCCTAATATTAGATTTAAAAAGTGCATTGTAACAAATGCTTGCATTATCACACTATTTTGTAATTGTCAGCCCTGTATCGTGACAGTTTGGGCCGTACCACCAGATTCTTGCAGATACACAGCCATTATGACGAATACAGTATTCGGTGTACTTCTACACCTGACATGTGGCAGCCTATTCAAGTCTTTTTCAGTGCATTTTATTGAGAGGAGGACCTTAACCCTCTGCACCTCTAAGAAACAGCACAACACAAAACATATTCGATAAAACCACGGATGATCTTGTGGATAGAAGTCTTATAAATACATGTAACGTTTTTAAAAGAAATGTTGATCGGCTCTTTTTGTTCGGTTGAAGTGTTTCCATCTTTGGTTCTCTTCTCTTTCAACTTAGAGGAAAAATGCGTAAGATTTCTAAAGACATACAGAGCTGCCTTTCGTGTCAGTGTGTGTGTCCATCCACAGCACTTAGTGAACGCCCTAATGCTGTTCCTACACACCATATGCAGTAACATGCTAGAAACAAGTGACTGGTTGAATGAACACGCTGAATATTCACGTCAACCTAACGTCTCTAGGTTTTGTACTAAATGCACTCAAGTGGAATGTAGGAGCAGGAAAACACCGTGCAGCTGTATCAGGCGAGATGTACCTCTCTAATGGTGTGGTTGTTTACATCACTGAGTAAGCACTTGTTCAATTTCACCAATTCAGACGGTGTAAAGCTGGTCAGGAAAGTGAAGTGCTGCATTACTGTCTCTGTGAAGGAGGATAAGCTGGAGAAAAGAGGACTATCTGATTTCACTCTGTTCTTCCTGTCCAGCTGGCTAAAGCTATTTAATGGCGTTAATCAAAATTTCCCCTGTTGAGTCCCTGTTACGCAGGTGTGTGCAGTCGAGAATGTCACTCACACTACGTGCTGGTGTATGAACCGCAGGTCTCTGATGGGGGGGGGGGGGGGGGGGGGGTGTTTGATCATCCTTTTTTATATTCATTAATTTTAATATAGCATTTTATTCCTGGCAAGGCAAGGCAAGTTTATCAATATACTGTAGCACCTTTCAACACAAGGCAATTCAAGGTGCTTTACAAAAATGAAAGACATTAAGAGCATTAAGAAACATATATTATAAAATGCCATTTAAAAACACTCATTTGAAAGCAAAGATAATAAAACATGAAATGTTTAGGTCTGACTCTCAATTATTGTTAACTTTTTAGCAGAAATAGTTCAAGTTATGTCAGTGCTACAGTACGGTCCAGCACCTACATCCGAGTCCCTACGTCTTTGTTTCCATTGCCATGCTTCACTATAAACAGCTTTTAGTATTCTTTTTTTTTTTTTAAATGTACATGTCGTAAAAACTTGTATGTGTTTTATGTGGGCTGCCACAGTCGGACAACATATGATTCAACAAGATGTGGCTCCCCATGTCACATGCAGGTTCATTAAAATATAGCACCCCTAATTTGAGTTTCTCCACCCACAGTCTAAGAATCACCTTTCCAAAGGTGCGGTTATCTTTATAGCAAGCCAATTAGAGCACACCGGGCATTTTTGGGAGGGGTGGCTTTACCGCACTTTAATGGGGCAATTTACACACTGATTTATTTAGAAGGACAGTGTGAGAAACATTACTGCTTGTTCTATAAAACTAAATATAACCACATGAAAATGTTACTCATATGTCTCCTTTAATTTCTATAACCTCTCACTGTTTTCTTTCTTCCATGGCAGCTGGTTACATCAGTGACTACATCAGCCCCGTCGTGTACGATGGTGAGAGTGACGGTGGGCTCAAGGTGCCCTCCCCCGAGCCCCCCTACGATGGGGTCCACAGTGAATACGGGGCCCCTGACTCCGAGTCCCCTGACAGTCCTAGCTCAGAAATCACTGACGGCTACATCAACGGGGACGCTGCGGTGAGCGACGGTTACTCAGTCGACGCCTTCTTCATCAGCGATGGCCGCTCGAGGAGGAAAGCCATCAGCAGCCCCCGGACCATCCAGAGGCACAGCTGCAACGAGTGCGGCAAAACCTACGCCACGTCTTCCAACCTGAGCCGGCACAAACAGACACACCGCTCGCTGGACAGCAAGATGGCGAAGAAATGTCCGACCTGCGCGAAGGTGTACGTGTCCATGCCCGCCATGGCCATGCACCTGCTCACTCACGATCTCAAACACAAGTGTGACGTGTGTGCGAAAGCCTTCAGTCGGCCGTGGCTTTTACAGGGCCACATGCGCTCTCACACGGGCGAGAAGCCGTTCGGATGCGCCCACTGCGGCAAGGCCTTCGCCGACCGCTCCAACCTGCGCGCTCACATGCAGACCCACTCGGCCTTCAAGCACTTCAAGTGTAAACGCTGCGACAAGACCTTTGCGCTCAAGAGTTACCTGAACAAGCACTACGAGTCCGCTTGCTTCAAAGGCCCCTACTCTCCTCTCGGGCCCCTCGATGCATGACCCCCTGCATAGATAAAACACAAACTGCAGACATAGATTACCATTATCCTTACAGACTGAACTGCAGACACAAACAATCTATTTTTGGTCAGAATATGACCTTGCTTCCCTCCTCCTCCTCTCTAACGGAGCCTATTCATGATGATAGCACAATTTTTCTCCTTGAGATTTGTCCACTTAAGGATTTAACTGATCGACGCATGCACTTCCTCAAAAACTCTTCACCTCCTCTTCCTCTGTCCGTTCTGGATGGAGACAATAATACTAACACGGCTTCCTTCTGGCATCTAGATACATAGACTTTGGGACACTGATGAGGACGACAGACAATAATAAGCCTATATCTCCATGGTTACCTGCACTGAGACGCAGTGAAAGAGGTTTTCTCCTTCCCATTTTGTTTATTGGGGAATAATAGTAATAATAATAGTAATAATAATGATAATACTAATGTTCTGCTGCACCAAGTGACCATATTCTCTCCACTACTGAGGTAAAAACTATTTATTTATTTACTTATTTATTTGAACATGATTTTGTATTTGTTATATCTTTATACTTGATTGAGTCACATTGAAGTGATAGCGTTAACTTATTTGTTGCACTTTAATTTCTGTATATGTATGTAGGATATTTGCCAACCTCTTTTATCACTACAGGCCAAAGCATATGTCACTTTTTTAAGTATTATTTTTTCTTATTATGTTGTTTACCTTTTTTTTCTTTTCGTATTAACGTTATTGCATGCAAAAAAATTATGAAATCTATGCCAACGTCATAAAAAGCTTATGATTTCTTTGCCAAATTCCTATAAATAGAACGTGAGGGCAATATTTTTTCTCTTGGAGCCTCCGTAGGACTCTTTAAAAGCAATAATCACCTAATGCATGGTATTTTATGATGAAGTTATGAAGTATTACCTACTACTGTATAGCAGTTTAAAAATCAGGTATGTCTTACTTCACCTATAGTCATAAACAGAAAAAAACTAATATTACAGACATCAGGGAACATGCCAATGTAGTGTTAGAGTAACAAAAAGAAAAGTCCTGTCTTTCCTCTCTTGTTATGCACTGCCTGCCTCTTAGTGAGTAGAACTAAAGTAGGATGTAGGCTAGAGAGGCCGGGGTCAGCTGCCTGCTGGGTGTGGGCCTATTGTGGGATAACTAAAACCTTGTCAGAACTATGCTAAGCTAACTCTAACCCTGTCAGACCTGTGCTAGGCTAACTCTAACCTGTCAGAACTATGCTAAGCTAACTCTAACCCTATCAGACCTGTGCTAGGCTAACTAACCAGTCAGAACTGTGCTAGGCTAACGCTAACCTGTCAGACCTGTCACCTGTGCTAGGCTAACTCTAACCTGTCAGACCTGTGCTAGGCTAACTCTAACCTGTCAGACCTGTGCTAGGTTCAATCTAACCCTGTCAGACCTGTGCTAAGCTAACTCTAACCCTGTCAGACCTGTGCTAGGCTAACTCTAACCTGTCAGAACTATGCTAAGCTAACTCTAACCCTATCAGACCTGTGCTAGGCTAACTCTAACCTGTCAGAACTATGCTAAGCGAACTCTAACCCTGTCAGACCTGTGCTAAGCTAACTCTAACCAGTCAGAACTGTGCTAGGCTAACTCTAACCTGTCAGACCTGTGCTAGGCTAACTCTAACCTGTCAGACCTGTGCTAGGTTCAATCTAACCCTGTCAGACCTGTGCAAGACTAACTCTAACCTGTCAGACCTGTGCTAGGCTAACGCTAACCCTGTTAGAACTTTGCTAGGCTAACTCTAACCCGTCAGACCTATGCTAAGCTAACTCTAGCATCACATAAGGCTGCTAACAGTATCTTGGATTAAGCTTGACAACAGTTTAGTCGGACTGGATCATTGGACATTCAACAGATTATTAAAAAGGTACGCAGATGTTAAAACGGCACAAAACAAATGTTCTGTGTCATGCAGCCAAATAATAATGGGCTTTAACAGATCTTTTAATATCACAATGGTTACCAAAATGATAGCAGGTATAGTGTTCGTACTGTAGCATTCCTTCAATAGAGATCCGAGTTTGGTGCATTGTTGAAGTTGGACCGAGGTCAACTTGAAATGCAATGCATTATTCAACTAGCCTTCCAGTGCACTTCCAAACCATAAAGCGTGCATTCTTCAACCGCAGAGAAAGCATGCACTTTAGCTGGAAGGCTCAACCGTTACAGTCCGACAGATACATTTGGCAAAGATTATTCTGCAGTAGGCCCCATTTAACCCTACTGGGCCGACCATGGGCTAACTCTATGAGCGATATACCTACAGACAGGCTAACTCTAATCCACCCCAACCCATAGATGGTTTAACCTTTTATTTAGGCGGCCAATACCAGTGTTGCTGAACCCAGTTCTCTGCAGCTCAGAAACCTTTTCTACAGATCCCTGGAGTTTCCTGAGAGACAGACTGAGGACACAGATCTGCACAAAACATCAAGTGCTTGTTTTAAATGCCATATTTATCATTGTAACTTTGCATGCCCACACATGAGAGCACACTGTGCCTGCTGTTGAGCTTTGATGAGAGACACACGGGGAGAATTTGTGTCTACAGTCAATCTTCCAACAATTGAAAAGAAAATGGGTTGAAAATGGGTTTAATATTTAAATGTGAATCTCTGACAGAGGAAGTTTTGATAATTACAGTGCTTCCTCAGGCATAAGATTACTCAATTAGAGATGGAGTTGATTGATATCCAACACCATTTAGGGTTTTAGGGACAAAAGGAGAGTCTGCACTGATACATGGACCCATTACCTAATTTAATTAACATCCCAGAGATAAAGTTATTGGACCTGTGTGACATCAAAGGCGGACAGATCTGCTCTGAAGTGAGAAGTAAACATTTTGCATTGAAAGGCTTGTGTTGCAGGAGACGATAGGATCTTTAATTATTTCACAAAGAAGTATTTGATTGTAAGAAGTCAATGAGAAAGAGGCGGTTTCTGTTGTGATAGAAGCAGTGAGAGTGTGAGTCAGCAAACTACAGGTCTCTTATCTCTCTGCCTGATTTCAGCTGCAATCACTTGAATTGTATCAGACATTTAGTCATAGAGCTTTAACTTATTAGGGCGGGCATTTGTCTCGTTATCAGTGATTTTCAGACTTGTCCAAATTCTCAAAATAAATAACACAAGTTCATTTGTATATTAAGAAGCCTACGGCACAGTATATGCAAAGAAAAACAGCATTACCTTTATTTTTTCTTAAAACACCTTAGAGATATAAAGAATAATATGGTTTTTATTTTAACTGCTGACTTTAAAATAGTTTTTTTATTGAATCTCGATGCGAGCAAGAAAAGCGATAGGACAGTTCCTGTTGTCATTACAGATCAAAGTGTTTAGGGTACAACGTTGTTACAGAAACCACTGATGGGCTCTCTGGCAGCGATGTCTCCCGCTGCTGTTTACGTACCATTAATCGTATCTTTGTGTATAAAAAACCTCTTTGAAACTTTGCACTGCAGTCTAAACGTCTTAAGGGTATTTGTTGAGATGTTGTTGGGCGGCTGTTTGTACCGGTTTTGAGGCAGGAAAGCTGCGTGTGCGTCTGTCTCTGGGCGAGCTCCAGGTCTGTCCTCTATAAGCACTTCCATTCTACTCATCTCCACCTTAAAGAAAGTAGCACAATGAAACTAACTAGAATTCAGGTAGAGAATAATTAAAAAACCTTGTACTAGCTTGACCTCTCTTCTTTTTTTGTATTTCCAAGTTAAAGAATGATGATAACCTAAATAATCATTTATTGCAAATGGGTTTGTAAAGAATCCTTTGGATTGAGACATTTGTACTGCTGTATAGCGATATCTAACACACCTTATCTCGGGGGGTTTGGCTCTCTGTTGCAGAGAGGAGACCCCCTGGGTTTTTTTTGAGCCAGAATTCAGACAATGTAAGCACAATGAACACAAAGCATTTTGTGGCACTTCATAATAAAGAATAATCTTAATCAACCAGAGCAGTGTGTCGTAGTTTTGTGTCTTATCTTGTTTTAAAAAGTATTCTGTTGATCATAACGAGCCGATACAAACAATAAGAGCAGTAGCTGTAGCTGCTTTGCTGCACTTGGTACAGTAGGTGAGTATTTCTTTCATTCCTTTTAAACTCTTCTGAATCCTATAATGTATTTTCTGTTTGAGTAGCTTTTAAGGCAGTTAATGCTAATAAAATAAATTAACCTTAGAGTCAGAAGAGTGTTCATTTACATGGAATAACACTCAGCTATGCACTCCACAGGACATACTTTGTATTAGCTTTGTCAATATTGTATGTTTAAAGAGGGCCTGGGTTAACACTGGTGCACAGTGTGCTCATTAGCACTCTTTAGGCTGGGAGCGATCCTCCAGTAATGGGCTTCTGGATGGCTAAATACAGCAGCTTGCTCACTCTGTATTTGAACATTTAGCGGTGGTTAAGTATGGAATCACTTTAGGCCCCTTTGTTTCAAATCTTAGCGATAACCTTAATTATGGAACTATAAATGTTGGAGTTTGGAAACAAAAACACTGTTGGGGAAGTATGTATTAACTTCTATCTGATTCAGGCTGTGGATACAACGATCAACTATGCTTTCATTGATGCTTAAACTGCTGATTACCACTTAAAATACGTTTGATTATACATACACACTATACACTAAACATACTGTGAAGGACAGAGGCACATAAGGAGTCAATAAAATACAAATACATGGGAAAGTATATATTTTTTTACTGTAATTTGTGTAGGCACAAATCCAACGTTTCCACGTGACAGAATGTTTGCAAAAGTTATCAACTGATACACTAGAGGGAAAATATGCAATGTTACACACAGATGGAAATTGAAACACACTTAAGTAGAGATACAATTGAACACTTGCTAGACTGAAAATAATTGTTTTCTTTCCTAAAAAGGAACACTGAAGGAAAGGAAACGGTGCCTGACGATGTTCCTCTGAACTGGCAGAGGGTCTCATTGTTTCCACAGCGGCTCCGTGGGTCTGCAGCCAGGTGTGCTTCCGGTGACATTGCAGACATGCAGCATGGGAAACTGACCAACTAATCTTATCTTGCAGTGACTTTGAATTAAAGGTGACCTGCGCCGGCATTGTTTCAGCTGGACGTCACCTCAAAGCAACACCTTTCTGTGTAATTGGCAATTTGGAGATCCTCATTGCTGAAGCTGCATTGCTAGTAACAAGTCTGAAGACAAGCTAACGTTTGCTAGCTAGACCTAACGTCTCCTTCTTTCTCTATTTATTTTGAAATCATTAGGCCACATTTTAAGAATGTATTACAAATGTTATTTACAAGATCATTGTAATTTGTTTGTATGATCACCTGTTACATGATATCATGCAGAGGGAAACCTCTTCTCGAGTCGAGCTACATTAAAAACTTGCTGCAATTAGCTCCACGCAAAAAGTCAAAATACATGTATATTGTTGCTATGCCAACATGTGTCGTGTACAAGGCAATCAACTACAGTATCTACAGTATAGAGGTTAACTTTCAGAACTACCATGCATCTCTCCGCAGCTTTATGAAGTACCATCCTATGCCACAAATTGGTTACAAAAAGACAGGAACGTGTCCGCCCACCTCCATGAATCACCTTCTCCGTTCTCCTGTCTTCAAACTTCTCCTTTTCCCCTCATCTCTGTTTTCGTTCTCATAGTTTTACAGCTGTTCCCCCTCTCCTCACATCTGGTTTTCTCTCCCCTCCTGTCTCCTCTCCTCTGTTTCTTTCTTCTCCATCATCCCCCTTCTCCATCACCTGCTTCTTCCTCCCTCCTTGTGCTCCCCTCTCCTTCCTCTCATTTCTCCCTCCTGCAGAGTCAAACCAGGCCATCAGGCCATTGAGGACCTGAAAGTCATTTAACTCCTGGTAGATAATAAGTCTTAGAATATAGCTCCTCTCAGATAATAAGCTTTATCACTTGATTGCTCTGCACGCTCCCTACAGTCTTTAGATTCATGTCCAGGGACCAACTCAGGCGAAACTCACAATTTCCTTCCTGGCAAGTCAAATTAACATTCTGCGTGTGTGTGTGTGTGTGCGCGCGCGCATGTGTCTGTGTGTGTATCAATGATTACTCATCACAGGGAATGAGAGATTGCTGAGGGTGCAAATCAAATCCAACCAGCCCAAAGGTTATGTTCCGATAGTGAATGTGTCCGGTGGAAATAGTAAGATTTAATGGTCCACAATTGTAAAATAAACATCTTTATTTAACCTCATGCTGACTTTAATTTTGATCAGCTTTAATAGTCCCTCAGAAACTCCTCTCTCTTCATCTGTCCTCTGCCTCATCCTGCTCTTCATCTTTTACCTCGTCTTCGCTCTCACACCTAATTTGTTTCTGCCTCACTACTGAACTCATATCTTAACTGAGATCGATTTGACTAGCTAGCATGGCAATTAAATAAAGGGAAACATATACAGGAAAAATAAGAACATTTTGAAGGGATAAGAGTAAAATAAATACCAGAGTCAGCTAGTCACAATTAGTTGGAACCAACATGCTAACTGACGGTCAAAATGTCCACCCTGTCGTTGTACCAAAATGTCCAACCTTTCAACTCTGAGTGGTCAACAGGTTTCATGGTCTGTTTGAAAGGATGTCCAAGAGTTCTTACAGTAATGTTCAGAATTGAAGCTAGCATACCCAGCAAAAGCCAATGTATCACAATTTGGCAACATTAGGTTCATTTGGTTGACTGTTGATCTAATTTACTGAGATTTTCACAGACTAAAGAAAGTCTGAAGAGTCCTAAAGTTGGGAACTTGCCCAGAAAACATCCAGATGATGATCTAAAGATGCACCAGAGCTTGTAAGGAGTTAAAAGTCCAGAGATGTATCTTCTGTTAGCATGCCGCAGTACAGAAAAGCTTGTTTTGGAGGTTTTGCTGATGCAGGCGCACGGAGAATTATACTAAGATGTAATTGGGCCATAAATAAACACTTACTATATTATAAGTGTCTTTATGAGCAGAATTAGCCTATTTTGTTGTTGAAGAAAGCACAGCTCTGCAATTTAGTCAGCTCAATAGGGCTACGCTGGTTCTCCCCAGAGACACCAAGTATCTGGGACCATATTATGTGTCAGAGAGCAGATGTTTAACAATGTGATGTCATGGCTAATAATGATGACCTCAGATGTGTCTGTGACCAGCTGTGGGAAATGTTTTGCAGGTTTAGAAAGCAGACATGTAATGAGCCCATCACTCATCCTCTCTGTCGTTCTTCTCACTCCCTCGCCTCTCGTTGTGTCTCCTCTCATTCATGTCACTCCGCCACCTAACCTCTGTAATATTAGGCAGGGCCGTAATAAGTCCAGCTTCCTCTGGGATCTCTGATGTCATCTGTCAAAGCAGGCATCATTATGTGCTTTATGAACTAAGTCGTGCCATGCTGTGCTGGGATAGCGCTTATCAATTTAGACAAGTCCAACTGAAATGTAATTGCTTTTTTTTTGTCTGCTAAAGCAAACATAACTGCACTGTAGGCCATTTGTCCTGTGTTCTCCTCAGAGAAAATTAGAGACAAAAGGGGGAAAGGTACATTATCAGTATACCTGTATGAACGCCATATTTCGATACAGCCAATCAAATATTTTCCTACAGCAGTTAGATCAGCATTCAATCACAGGCGAGCAAACGGTCACACTGAGCGACAGACAACAGCCTAATGCACAACAGCAGAGCATGCGACTTTTAACTGGTCCCCCTATTCGCTTTCCCGCTAAATTATCACTTTTCTCACCCTTACAAACATGAATGCACATTTTGTTATGCTCTTTAGCTTTTTGAACGAGCCAGCAAGCAAAGATTCAGTGGTGAAATGTGCACTACTAATATCAGTTTGCACTAGGCTAGATAGATGACTGTACTGGTTTTTTTTTAACATTGAATGGTTTTGCAAGTATGTATCAAACTCAAAATAAGTGTTAATCTCTAAATGTAAAACAGTTAAATCTGGTGTTTTCCCCAGAAATCCTCTAAAAACCTCACAGTTCACTACCTGCTCACAGCAAATGACCGACAGACACAGTAAGAGACTAGCGGGTAAACATAGTGGAGCATTTAGCAGCTAAAGAGCCAGATTATTTCCCCCAGGAGTTGGCTGAGAACAAACTCAGAGCTAAAAGAGAGGGAATCAGACTCAACGGATGATAATGTTGCACTGCTGGATGTGTAAATAAGCAACTGCTCACCATATCAAGTTAAGAGGTAAACATATGTTGTTTCTGCTGCATCCAAATATCAATTATTATATTACATGTTACTTGTTAGACGCTTTTATCCAAAGCGACTTACATACTCAATACTGTGGGCAATCCCCACAGGATCCCTTTGGGGTGAAGTGTCTTACCCAGGGACACAACGACATGCTGACTTCAGTGGGGTTTGAACCTGTGCTCCCCTGATTCGAACACCAACGCACTAACCCACTGCGCCACCCGCCTCCTGTACTGTTTTATGTGCTTTCCACAAAACAGAAATAAAGCCTTATCTGTGTAAATGCTGTGACTGGCATCTTCAGTACAGCTGTTAGACCTCATACAAATTGCATATAGTGACTGCATACATTCTTTTAAAAATCTCCCACAGCCACTCCTATAATAATTTAAAAAAGGGATGTTGCAACATGCTTGGTACGATCCCTCATGGGTACGGGTAAACACACAGGATATTATACTTGTATTCTTCTTTATCTGCTGCTGAACAGTGAATGGTAAAATATCTGTCTCAGTGTAGCCACATCTTTAACTCCCACTCCAGACGTGCTTGATGTTGAGAGCGAGGCAGCGCAGGACAGGGCTGTGAATGTTCTCACCACATCCCGGGCTATTTGTAGAGATGGCAGCTGTCACCAGAAACATCAACGGGCTAAAGACAAATGCTTTTCATAGCTCTGGTAGGTGGAGGTGTGGAACGAAGCGGACAGATGTTGAGCTAGTAGATTT